CTTCCTCCTTTCCAGTCCAATGTCGATGACAAAGTGCACGGCGCATATCCAGACCAGAGACTCGCCACGGCTGCTTGTTAACACCACATTCCTCCCACGGTCAGTGCCGCCATGGGCCAGCCCATCGTACGGCATGTAATAAGGCAGACTGTGATGAGGATAGATTGGAATGGGATGCAGTTCACCCAGTGTTGGATTCATATGTAAGCTTTGCTGATGGATCATTTCAAAGGCCTTTCTTATTTCCTGAAAATAAGTACAAATTGTGAAATAAAATACATAAACACTGCAACAACTCGTGTCTTTCCCAAGTTCCTTTCACAAGCAGTACCAGGCAACAAGCAAAAAGCAATAAGTAATTTCATAATGATCATCAGAAAATACTACAGATGTGTTAAGATATAAATGTTCACAGTTTACATTTTTCTAAAGGCAGCCATATATGGGGCTGAACAAGAATCAATCAATTCCCTCACACATGCTAACAGGATGGATTGAAGAATCTCCATGTCATCTATTGTATTCAGGCAGCCATGTGTAGGCAGGTGCCTTCTAGATTCTCCACTGCAGGTGGTGCTTGTCCAGAACAGCAATGCAGCTGGAGGAGGAAGTCAAGAGAAACTGGGTTTCTCTACGATTCCCTCGGTCCCCTGCAACAGCAATCCAGTTGGCTATGCTAAATCCAGATGACCCTGGTGGACATCTTGGGTCACACAAGTCTTTTTAGATTCCTGGCCCAGGGTTTTGGCAAGCATTTTGTGAGTGGCTAATGTAGGGACAGGACACTTTTCAGTCAGGGACAGCACTACCGGTAGGGAGAGGTTATAGAAGAGAGTAGGGAAAGCTTAGGGCCTACATCTGCAACTCCAGAAAGCTCCCCTTTGGGTTGGACAAGCCAGGCTGCATTCTGCCCTCCTTGATAGGTGCTGTCTTTGATTCAGGCCTACTCTTCTCTGGTCCAGTTGTTGTATGTTCTTGGTTGGGGCAAGAATCCCGCCCCGCTGTTGTACTGCTTACAAGTTTCTGCATCACATCGTTTTTTTTTGCAATCCAGGATTCCATGTGCTTTCTGCTGCTGCACCATGCAGCACCTACACGGCACATGGTACCCACAGCTGTCAGAATACAATGACACTGCCGAACAGATAGGATGCTGAACGCATCTGATAGGATGCAGTCACTGTTAAGCCAATAATTTTACAGCTGGCCCAGTCAATTTTTAAAATTTACTTTTGTTGAGCTGGGTGGTGCTTGCAGGGCCTTCAACAACTTAAATTCCTGTTGAATAGGAAGAAATTTAAACAGTCTTTGGGGGCCTTAAGTTTTCTGCAATTCATTGCTGCCAGAATTCAGACAGCACCTAAGACTAGGTGACACCCACAGTGGAAAAAAATTATATATTTTGATATGAGGTTAAGCTAGAAAAAAATAATCTAATAAAACTAGTGGAAAACCATTTTAGTTTCCCTCTAAAATAAATAAAAACTATGAAGCACAAATCTGAAGATATATAAAAGCCATTGTGCACAAGCACTCACATACTGTATATTGCAGCTTGTTTGTGCCACTGCAAGTATTCGGAAGGTTTGAGAAACCTCTGATGGCAGAAAAAGCAGCCCTGGCAGACGGTGTATTGACATCCACTAATTTCTATTTATTTAGCTCACAGTAATTTGTTCTGGAAAGAATTGAATGTGCAGAAAAAGCCCAAACTCACACCCACTTACTTGTTCACAAGCCAGGAAGACAACAATGTCCCCTTTCTCCTGAGAGTGATGTATCTCGAACAGAAGCCGGATGGCTGCGAGGAAAGGGTCCCTCTGAATGCCAGGGGCGTAGACTATCTCCGCAGAATGCGAGTACTCTACCTCAATCAGGGGGACACTGCCATAGTAAGTCACTAGTTTGTCAGACAGTTCAGGAGGAGTGATGAGCACAATTTTCAGTTCAGGCCTTGCCAAGAGTATGTTTTTAAGAAATGCGAGGAGAACATCTGATGACACCGATCGCTCGTAAATATCATCAATAACTATGACTCCATAACAGGATAAGAGAGGGCTGGACATCATCTCCCTTAGTAACATGTCATCTGTACAATACCTGCAACACAATGTGAACATGTCAAGATGCTACACATACACTTCTACAAGAATATGTCATTGTCTGCAGTCATGGATTAAGGTTAGTCCTACTAGCAATAACAGTCATAGCAGATGCATTACCTGCAGGGCTAAACTTTGAAAATGAGACAGCTTGCCAAATTATGCTTAATAAGCAGGAACAGTCTATAGCCGTTATTAACCTTTTTACCCTAAAACAGTGGTAAAACTGTAGCCCTTGCTTTTTATTTTTTACCCAGCCCTTGGGGTACTATCTTCTCCATGGATACAAACAATGGATATTAATTCTCCCCGCTGACACCAATGAAGAGGCATGATTTCTCCCAATTACACCAACAATGGGGGCCCAATACCAATGATGACTGGGCACAATTCCTCTTGCTGGCACAAGCGACGCGGCACAATTCCTCCCACTGACACCAATGAAGGGGCACTATACCTCCCACTTACACTAAAGATGGGGCATCGTTTTTTCCCACTGACTTTAGGACCTTTCCTACTCCCAATGGCCACAGTCTGTCTCCCCTAGAGTCTGAGGGACAGTAAACTGGCTCTTTGGTTGGAATGTTTAGAGACCCCTGCCCTGAAGGAACCCTTGAAACAATTTTCAGGTCTCAAGGAACCCTTACTAAAACCAATTTATTAGAGGCCATTGGCAAATATGATCCTTACGTGATTGGTCAAGAGAAAGAATTCACAATGGTGGTCAGAATGCCCCCCTTACAGACAGCTAAAAATATAATTAGCGTCATGCTTCTAGCTTTGCCTAGTGATGTTGGCCCTGCAACTATACAGGCATCATCAAATGGTAAAACAAGAAGCGCTCCAGGTCAATCTGCACCGATCCCACTTCCATGCACACTGATAGGTGCTGGCCCTGCTCATTGCAGTTTTCATAGTAAATAAATAAGGCTAGTGGCCGCACATGCGATAAAACCACCTTTATTAAGTTATCCAGATATAACCTACATATACAGGTATATATACACACACACAAACAAGTATATCCAATGATGTCTTAATTACAAAACAATTAAAGCACAGCCGCTGACACTTGTCAGTAATAGGTTACGCTTTCGAGCATATAGATGGTCCTAAACCATTACAGCAATATAAATAAAACATGTTAAAAACAAAGTAGTTATCCACAAATGCACATCAAAAACAAACCTGCACACAAGATGGAATATAATTTAAAGAAATAAACTCCCGCTACAAATAAATGAATAGTATGTCGATGGCAAATGTTGCAATGCCAGCAAATAATACGCAATAACGAAAGCAAAAATCACAGAAATGAAAAATAAAAAAAATAAATAAAAGGATGGATTAACAGGACAACCACATCAGGGATTTTCTACACACACGCACGGTTAAATCCTGCTGGTTTTCTAGTACACAGACTAAAGAGCCAAAAAACTTAATTTTTTACAAAGCATTTTAAATTTATCACCTCTTCTCTTTGGAGCACCCTGTATATATAAACTCACCGGCCACTTTATTAGTTACACCTTAGTAGTACCGGGTTGGACCCCTTTTGCCTTCAGAACTGTCTTAATGATTTGTGACATATACTATATTGAGTTGTCCCACCCTTTGCAGCTATAACAGCTTCAACTCTCCTGGGAAGGCCGTCCACAAGGTTTAGGAGGGTGTCTATGGGAAGGTTTGACCATTCTTACAGAAGCACATTTGTGAGGTCAGGCACTGATGTTGGACGAGAAGGCCTGGCTTGCAGTCTCCTCTCTAATTCATCGAAAAGGTTTTCTATCGGGTTGAGGTCAGGATTCTCTGCAGGCCAGTCAGGTTCCTCCGCCACAAGCTCGCTCATCCATGTCTTTATGGACCTTGCTTTGTGCATTGGTGTGCAGTCATGTCTAGGTATGCTGACGCCTTAAGAGTTCCCTTCACTGGAACTAAGGGGCCAAGCCCAACCCCTGAAGAACAACCTCACACCATAATCCCCCCTCCTCCAAACTTTTCACTTGGCACAATGCAGTCAGGCAAGTACCTTTCTCCTGGCAACCGCCATACCCAGACACATCTATCAGATTGCCAGAGAAGCGCGATTCATCACTCCAGAGAACACTGACCACTGCTCTAGGGTCTAGTGGTGCAGTGCTTTACATCACTGCATCTGACGCTTTGCATTGCACTTGGTGATGTAAATCTAGGATGCAGCTGTTCGGTCATGGAAACCCATTCCATGAAGCTCTCTACACACTGTTGTTGTTCTAATCTGAAGGCCACATAAAGTTTGGAGGTCTTTAGCTATTGACTCTGCAGACAGTTGGCAAATTCTGCGCACTTTGCGTTTCAGCATTTGCTGACCCCGCTTTGTCATTTTTATGTGGCCTACCACTTCATGGCTGAGTTGCTGTTGTTCCCAGTTGCTTCCACTTTGTTATAATACCACTAACAGTTGACTGTGGAATATTTAGTAGCAAGGAAATTTCACAGATGGACTTATTGCACTGGAGGCAACCTATCACGGTACCACGCTTGAATTCACTGAGCTCCTGAGAGCGACCCATTCTTTCACAAATGTTTTCAGAAATAGTCTGCATGCCTAGGTGCTTGATTTTACACACCTGTGGCCATGGAGGTGATTGGAACACCTGAATGCAATGATTTGGAGGGGTGTCCCGATACTTTTGGCAACAGTGTAGATTCAACAAGTTGTTGGAAACATTCCTCAGAAATTTTGGTCCATATTGACATGAGTTATTGTTGTCTTTCTATCACCTCGAACCAGTCTGCCCATAATCTTCTGACATCAATGAGGCATTTTCGTCCACAAAACTGCCGCTCACAGGATATTGTCTCTTTTTCGGACCATTTTCTGTAAACCCTAGAGATGGTTGTGCGTGAAAATCTGAGTAGATCAGCAGTTTTTTTTAAATACTCAGACTAGCCCGTCTGGCATCGACAACCACGCCATGTTCAAAGTCACTTAAATCCACTTTCTGTCCCATTTTGATGCTGGAACTTCAAGTCGTATTCACCATGTCTAGATGCTGAAATGCACTGAGTTGCTGCCATGTGATTGGCTGATTAATAATTTCTGTTATCAAGCAATTTAACAGGTATACCTAAAAAAGTGGCCGGTGAGTGTATAAGGCGGAGGGATAGCCGGAATGACATTCATTAAAGTGATTGGCTACATTGGTGGAATGTTTCTTTTCCAGATCATATCTTGCAGGCGGTCCCTAAGTCTGCGTGCAGTGCGGCCCACATACTACAAATGGCATATATCGCAGGTAATGGCATAAACCAAGTATTTGGTATTGCAATTAATGAATGAGGCTATTTTAAAATCCCTACCAGCATTGGTGGAATGAACAGTGTTCTCCTCTTTTGATGTGTTATCAATCAGCAATCAAATGGGAGGTCCATCAGCCAAAGTCCAATAAAGCCCAACCTTTGCAGGTACCATGGGGTTCCACAAAAGCCCTGGTTGAGAATGGATGGTCTATAACAAAATGTTTAAAGCTCAACTTCTTTAACTGATGTAAAACTTTTTCTGCTGGTGAAAATGCAGTAACTCAAAAACTACATTTCATCACTGGTCAATAGAAGGAATGCAACAATTTCAGTGGTGTCAGGATACTAGCCTTATAGACAGCTAACATTATAACGGAGATCATCCTGTTGGCTTTGCCTGGTGGTGTTGGTCCATCAGTCACAGCACAAGAAAGCCCTAGCAAACTCTGGAGGAACCCTAGTGTTTCATGAAACCCTAGTTGAAAATAGCTGGTCGATAGCAAATGTTTAAAGTTGATCTCCAACCTCACCTTACTCCTTTAGCTGATGTACAGCTTTCTTTGCTGGTCAAAATGCAGTAACTTCCATATTATCCACACAGTGATAACCTTACAGTGTGTAGTATAAGCTGTCTGTTTCCTATTAACAAGTCAACCACTTCCTGGGCAGATGATGACCAGCCGCATACAACCCAGTTCTCCCAAGCTTGGCTGTCAGTGACCTACCCCTATTGATTGGATAGCTGTACGGTCATGTAAAGCCCTCTTGCATCGCGTGTGGGCATTAACCACAGTGGTCTACATGCAAATGCAGCCTGCCTAGGAAGGCCCACCCCTTATCCTCTTTACAATCCCAACTTGTGGCCCTCTCACCACAAGCTGCAGAAGTGAAGAGACCCAGTCATGCTGTTTTGTTATTATGGCACAATTCAGAGACATTGATGACATCACAAGGTCAAAATAAATAAATAAATAGACAGGAGGGCGCAAACACCTAGTGCAGTACCCATGATTTAATGTTCATACATTAAAATAGATGTCAAATGTATACTCAAAAAGCCCCGGCATATTTAAAATAAATTCTTAACAGGTGACAGAAAGACTGACTGCTTTTGGACCCTATCTGCCTCTTAGTGTATGGCTGTAATATAGACAGCTATATTATAACGGTACCAAATTCAAGTCAGAATGATTTCTGCTGAAGCCAGATAACCCTCTACATTATGCAATACGTCTGCACTATATACAGAATGTACAGGAAAAGAATAGGCAGAATGTGGTTTGGTGAATATGCTGGCATTCAACAAAGCAGTTTCATAAAACACTAATTGTGAAGTCTGCCAATGAATAATGATTTACATTTGTATTTCTTAAAATTACATTAATTTGCTTTAGCTGCCAATAAACACATTATAAAATAATCAGGCTACGTAGAGTTACTGTCTTTTCTGTAGAACTGATGTACAACAGACAGAAAGTTCCCAGTGAACTGACTGCTGCTTTTCCATGACAGTGACTTGCTGCCCACAGACCTGTTCTCTTTTCTCCGTCCTTCTGCAGCACGATCTGACAGCTGGACAAGGCACAGGGATGAAATAAAGGATCAGCACCAACCTTAAGATAGTCTCATTAGTACAACAATTCTCAAAAGGCACCACGTAGCCAACTTCATGTCCAATATTGATATCCATTTCATCTGCCACCCTCATTGCGAGCCAGACAGCGGTCTGCTTTTGAACCTGGGTACAAATGACAGTCCCGTGTTGATTGTCAACAGATAGGCAGTATTCTGCACACCACTGTGGGATCTATAGAGACAAAAAGACATGTAAGTGGGTACCATAATACAATCCAGATGTAACAGTTAAAAGGAAACTTAAGGTAAATAGATCATCTTCCATGCTGTATATATGCAAAAGTGTGCTTAAGAAAAAAAATGCAAAAGTGTGTAGCATTGGAATACAGAGCATGACAGCAAGCGTTATGTGCAGGAGATGAGTGTGAAGAGTATGACAGTGGGCAGTATGTGCAAGAGATGAGTGTCAAGGGTATGACAGTGGGCAGTAAATGCAGGAGATGAGTGTCGAGGGTATGACAGTGGGCAGTATGTGCAGGAGATGAGTGTCGAGGGTATGACAGTGGGCAGTATGTGCAGGAGATGAGTGTCGAGGGTATGACAGTGGGCAGTATGTGAGGGAATGAGTATCGAGGGTATGACAGTAGTAACGGAACCGGACCCCGACCGCACTAGGGTATTTCCATTAGACTCCCGCTTCCCTGTCCGAACATTATCCACGGACCCCCACCGCTGACCATACAAGGTGAAACAGCACCAGACTTGTATTAAAACAGGAAATGGACTGCTTTATTTTAACACAGACGCAAGATATATACATTCAAGGGAACAACCCACCTTTCCTGCATAATGACACAGGGCGGGGCAAACCAAAACTGGTAACAAGAGACACACAGCTGACAACCCCCAAGCCAATACACATTAACAAATACATCCCATAACCGTTTCCTCCCAAGCCAGACATACAATAGAACAATGGGACAACCACATGGCATTAAACAATGGACAACCCCCACACCCCACCTATACATGTTTACACAATATCAGGACATTCCACCCTGTACCTCTAACAGGCACATGGTGACTTACACACAATAGAGATATGGGGAGCCGAGACAGGGGTCTCCCCACCTCTCCAAAAGGGGGCGGTGTTCCATGGGCCCCCCATCCAAAGTCACTCCCGTCACAACAGTATATGCAGGAGATGAGTGTCGAGGGTATGACAGTGGACAGTATGTGCAGGAGATGAGTGTCGAGGGTATGACAGTGGGCATTATGTGCAGGAGATGAGTGTCGAGGGTATGACAGTGGACAGTATGTGCAGGAGATGAGTGTCCAGGGTATAACAGTGGGCAGTATGTGTAGAAGGAGGTGTGCCAAGGGTATAGAACTTTCTAAATGTGTGTAATGGGACTTTCAATGCACACAGATATAACTACAATGTATAAATAAAAAATTATATTTTAAATTACAAATTCAGTATAAAATCATACGATTAAAATCAACAAGGCTGACACATTTCTAGACCAACATCACCCATTATAATATAGCCCAACATATTAAATCACTCTTATTCCTGCTTAGGATATAGTACACTGTAGGATATAGTACTATGCAGGATAATCCAATGCAGTTCAACATTTCTCTTCCTCAAGGGTTGGAGTAGCCATGTATATATACACACAGGTTGTACAAGTCAGCCACGGTATAAAAACAAGATCCATCTCTCAACAAGGGCCCATGGCTGGCAGCGACATTGGGGGGCAGTGAAGCATACAAGAGAACACAGGAGAAATCCCCAATAGATAACGGATTAGGTCCCAACAACCAGACATAAGTGTTCCACTGAGGATGACCCCTTTCCATTTTATATATATTTTTTATATATACACAATGTAGTTATATCTGGGTGCCTTGAAAGCCCCTTTAAACACTTTTGGAGAGTTCTGTGTTACTAAAGATGTTGGCACCATCCAGCATATGCATCTCTGGAGCATATTATTAGAGAGTGCCGAAGGTATGACAGCAGGCAGTATATGCGGGAGGTCAGTGGAGAGAGTATGACAGTGAGCAGTATATGTGGGAGGTCAGTGCAGAGGGTATGACAGTGGGCAGTATATGTGGGAGGTCAGTGCAGCGGGTATGACAGTGGGCAGTATATGCGGGAGGTCAGTGCAGCGGGTATGACAGTGGGCAGTATATGCGGGAGGTCAGTGCAGAGGATATGACAGTGGGCAGTATATGCGGGAGGTCAGTGCAGAGAGTATGACAGTGGGCAGTATATGTGGGAGGTCAGTGCAGAGGGTATGACAGTGGGCAGTATATGTGGGAGGTCAGTGCAGAAAGTATGACAGCGGGCAGTATACAGTTGCAAGAAAAATGTATGTGAACCCTTGGGATTACGTGGAGTTTTGCATGAATTGGGCATAAAATGTACTCTGAACGTCATCTAAGTCACAACAATAGAAGAACACAGTCTGCTGAACATAATACTACACAAACATTAGATTTTGCCATTGTTTAATTGCACATAACATGTAAACATTCACAGTGCAGTTAGGAAAAAGTATGTGAGGCCCTAGCTTAATGACTTCTCCCAGAGCTAATTGGAGCCAGGAGTGAGCCAACCTTGACTCCAATCAGTGTGATGATATTGGATGTGTTGCTGACAGCTGTCCTGCCCTTAAAAAACACACACCTGTTTTTGGGTTTACTGGTTTCAAGAAGAACTATCTGATGTGAACCATGCCTCGCAGAAAAGAGCTCTCAGAAGACCTACGATCAAGAATTGTTGACTTGCATGAAGCTGGAAAGGGTTACAAAAGTATCTCCAAAAGCCTTGATGTTCATGTGATGTTCACGGTAAGACAGACTGTCTACAAATGGAGAAAGTTTAGCACTGTTGCTACTCTCGCTAGGTGTGGTCGTCCTGTAAAAATGACTGCAAGAGCACAGCGCAGAATGCTGCATGAGGTAAAGAATCCCAGAGTGTCAGCTAAAGACCTACAGAAATCTCTGGCACATGCTAACATTTTTGTTGACACATCTACAAAAAGGAAAACATTAAACAAGAATGGAGTACATGGGAGGACACCACGGAGGAAGCCATTGCTGTCCAAAAAGAATATTGCAGTATGTTTGAAGTTTGCAAAAGAGCACCTGGATGTTCCACAGCACTACTGGCAAAATATACTGTGGACAGATGAAACCAAGATTGAGTTGTTTAGGAAGAACACACAACACTATGTGTGGAGAAAAAAAGGCACAGCACACCAACATCAAAACCTCCTCCCCACTGTAAAACATGGCGGAGGGAGCATCATGGTTTGGGGCTGCTTTGCTACCTCAGGGCCCGAACGGATGGATTGTTGTCATTGATGAGAAAATGAATTCCAGAGTTTATCAAGACATTTTGCAGGAAAACGTACGACCATCTGTCCACCAACTGAAGCTCCGCAGAGGATGGGTGATGCAACAGGACAATGACCCAAAGCATACAAGTAATTCAACAAAACAATGGCTGCAACAGCACAGAATACGCCTTCTGGAGTGGCCCAGTCAGAGTCCTGACCTCAACCCGATTGTGGCATGACCTTAAGAGAGCGATTCACACCAGACATCCCAAGAATATTGCTACGCTGAAACAGTTTTGTGAAGAGGAGTGGTCCAAAATTACTCCAGATCGTTGTGCAGGTCTGATCTGCAACTACAGGAAACGTTTGGTTGAGGTTATTGCTGCCAAAGGAGGGTCAACCAGTTATTAAGTCCAAAGGTTCACATACTTTTTTTCCTCCCTGCACTGTGAATGTTTACATGTTATGTGCAATTAAACCATGGCAACATCTAATGTTTGTGTAGTATGTTCAGCAGACTGTGTTCTTCTATTGTTGTGACTTAGATGACGTTCAGAGCACATTTTATGCCCAAATCATGCAAAACTCCACGTAATCCCAAGGGGTTCACATACTTTTTCTTGCAACTGTATGTGGGAGGTCAGTGCACAGAGTATGACAGTGGGCAGTATGTGTGGAAGAGCAGTGCAGAGGGTATGACAGTGGGCTGTACGTGCAGGAGAAGAGAGTGTAGCGAATATGATGGCAAGCAGTATGCACAGATTAAGAGTGTGGAAGGTATGAGAGCAGGCAGTATGGTGAGAAAGGGAGTGTGGAAGGCATGACAGAGGTGTGAAGGGTATAATGGTGGGTAATATGTGTAGGAGAGGAGTACAAAAGGTATGACAGGTGCCAGTATGTTCAGGAGAGGGGTGTAGAGGGAACAACAGTGAGTATTATGTGCAAAAGAGGAGTGTGAAGGTTATGACAGTAGGCAGTATGTGCAGGGGAGAAGTGTGGAGGGTATAGGAATGGACAGTATGTGCAGAAGAGGAGTGCTGAGGGTATGAGAATAGGTAGCATGTGCAGGAGCAGAGTGGGGAGGATTTGACAGGAGTTTGAAGAGTATAATGATGGGTAGTATGTGCAGTAGACAAGTGCAGAAGGTATGACAGGGGTCAGCAGGATTGTGGAGGGTATGATAGCCAGTGATATATATATATATATATGAGAGGAGGGTATGACAGTGAAAAAGAGTGCTGGGAGTATGATGACAGGTGGCATTTGTAGGAGAGGAGTACAGAAGGTATGACGGCATGCAGTATATGTGACAGAGGAGTATAGAGGATATGAACAGGACCAGTATGTTTAGGAGAAAAGTGCAGAGGGTATGACTGCAAGCAGTATATAACAGAGGAGTAGCAATTAGGTGGCTCAGCACATAAGATTTCCTAGAGATTCTTGGTTTGCATATGCTGGAACATAGTTCAAGCTGGCCAACAGCATCAAAGTGATCCTTCTCTAGTCATGCCTTCCTTTGCCTAAAAAAAAAAAATCTTAAAATAAGCTATGGGCTTGGCTCAGACTTCTCACAGCAGTCAGCTGTTGTGTAGAAGTCAATAAGCTGAGGACTGTAAATTACTGTATAGATTTAATTAAAAAAAAAAAAAATAAAAAGAAGAATGGAATAAAAAATAAAATAATAATAAGATAAAACAACCCATATGGAAGAAAAAATATATTTGAAATATATTTTTATAATATTCTTCCCAAATATATTGCCATATATTTGAAATATATTTTTAAAAATATATATTTTTTTTATATATTCTTAATATTTTAAACATTCAAAAAGTCATTAACATATATTTTTAAATATATTTTGTAAATGCATTCCAAA